ATGTAGATGTGGTGTAGCGTGTGTGTGTGTGTGTGTGCTCACGTGTTGTAGGTGTGGATGTAGATGTGGTGTAGCGTGTGTGTGTGTGTGTGTGTGTGTGCACACGTGTTGTAGGTGTGGATGTAAATGTGGTGTAGCGTGTGTGTGTGTGTGTGTGCTCACGTGTTGTAGGTGTGGATGTAGATGTGGTGTAGCGTGTGTGTGTGTGTGTGTGCTCACGTGTTGTAGGTGTGGATGTAGATGTGGTGTAGCGTGTGTGTGTGTGTGTGTGCTCACGTGTTGTAGGTGTGGATGTAGATGTGGTGTAGCGTGTGTGTGTGTGTGTGTGCTCACGTGTTGTAGGTGTGGATGTAGATGTGGTGTAGCGTGTGTGTGTGTGTGTGTGTGCTCACGTGTTGTAGGTGTGGATGTAGATGTGGTGTAGCGTGTGTGTGTGTGTGTGTGCTCACGTGTTGTAGGTGTGGATGTAGATGTGGTGTAGCGTGTGTGTGTGTGTGTGTGCTCACGTGTTGTAGGTGTGGATGTAGATGTGGTGTAGCGTGTGTGTGTGTGTGTGTGCTCACGTGTTGTAGGTGTGGATGTAGATGTGGTGTAGCGTGTGTGTGTGTGCTCACGTGTTGTAGGTGTGGATGTAGATGTGGTGTAGCGTGTGTGTGTGCACACGTGTTGTAGGTGTGGATGTAGATGTGGTGTAGCGTGTGTGTGTGTGTGTGTGCTCACGTGTTGTAGGTGTGGATGTAGATGTGGTGTAGCGTGTGTGTGTGTGCTCACGTGTTGTAGGTGTGGATGTAGATGTGGTGTAGCGTGTGTGTGTGTGTGTGTGTGTGCACACGTGTTGTAGGTGTGGATGTAGATGTGGTGTAGCGTGTGTGTGTGTGTGTGTGCTCACGTGTTGTAGGTGTGGATGTAGATGTGGTGTAGCGTGTGTGTGTGTGTGATCACGTGTTGTAGGTGTGGATGTAGATGTGGTGTAGCGTGTGTGTGTGTGTGATCACGTGTTGTAGGTGTGGATGTAGATGTGGTGTAGCGTGTGTGTGTGTGTGTGTGCTCACGTGTTGTAGGTGTGGATGTAGATGTGGTGTAGCGTGTGTGTGTGTGTGTGTGTGTGTGTGTGTGTGTGCTCACGTGTTGTAGGTGTGGATGTAGATGTGGTGTAGCGTGTGTGTGTGTGCTCACGTGTTGTAGGTGTGGATGTAGATGTGGTGTAGCGTGTGTGTGTGTGTGTGTGTGTGTGTGTGTGTGCTCACGTGTTGTAGGTGTGGATGTAGATGTGGTGTAGCGTGTGTGTGTGTGTGTGTGTGCTCACGTGTTGTAGGTGTGGATGTAGATGTGGTGTAGCGTGTGTGTGTGTGTGTGTGTGTGTGCACACGTGTTGTAGGTGTGGATGTAGATGTGGTGTAGCGTGTGTGTGTGTGTGTGTGTGTGTGTGTGTGTGTGTGCTCACGTGTTGTAGGTGTGGATGTAGATGTGGTGTAGCGTGTGTGTGTGTGTGTGTGTGCTCACGTGTTGTAGGTGTGGATGTAGATGTGGTGTAGCGTGTGTGTGTGTGTGTGTGTGTGTGCACACGTGTTGTAGGTGTGGATGTAGATGTGGTGTAGCGTGTGTGTGTGTGTGTGTGTGTGTGTGTGTGCTCACGTGTTGTAGGTGTGGATGTAGATGTGGTGTAGCGTGTGTGTGTGTGTGTGTGTGTGTGTGTGTGTGTGTGCTCACGTGTTGTAGGTGTGGATGTAGATGTGGTGTAGCGTGTGTGTGTGTGTGTGTGCTCACGTGTTGTAGGTGTGGATGTAGATGTGGTGTAGCGTGTGTGTGTGTGTGTGTGATCACGTGTTGTAGGTGTGGATGTAGATGTGGTGTAGCGTGTGTGTGTGTGTGCTCATGTGTTGTAGGTGTGGATGTAGATGTGGTGTAGCGTGTGTGTGTGTGTGTGTGTGATCACGTGTTGTAGGTGTGGATGTAGATGTGGTGTAGCGTGTATGTGTGTGTGTGCTCACGTGTTGTAGGTGTGGATGTAGATGTGGTGTAGCGTGTGTGTGTGTGTGTGTGTGTGTGTGTGTGCACACGTGTTGTAGGTGTGGATGTAGATGTGGTGTAGCGTGTGTGTGTGTGTGTGTGTGTGCTCACGTGTTGTAGGTGTGGATGTAGATGTGGTGTAGCGTGTGTGTGTGTGTGTGTGTGTGCTCACGTGTTGTAGGTGTGGATGTAGATGTGGTGTAGCGTGTGTGTGTGTGTGTGTGTGCACACGTGTTGTAGGTGTGGATGTAGATGTGGTGTAGCGTGTGTGTGTGTGTGTGTGTGTGTGATCACGTGTTGTAGGTGTGGATGTAGATGTGGTGTAGCGTGTGTGTGTGTGTGTGTGTGCTCACGTGTTGTAGGTGTGGATGTAGATGTGGTGTAGCGTGTGTGTGTGTGTGTGTGTGTGTGTGTGTGCTCACGTGTTGTAGGTGTGGATGTAGATGTGGTGTAGCGTGTGTGTGTGTGTGTGTGTTTGTGCTCACGTGTTGTAGGTGTGGATGTAGATGTGGTGTAGCGTGTGTGTGTGTGTGTGTGTGTGTGTGCTCACGTGTTGTAGGTGTGGATGTAGATGTGGTGTAGCGTGTGTGTGTGTGTGTGTGCTCACGTGTTGTAGGTGTGGATGTAGATGTGGTGTAGCGTGTGTGTGTGTGTGTGTGATCACGTGTTGTAGGTGTGGATGTAGATGTGGTGTAGCGTGTGTGTGTGTGTGTGTGTGTGTGTGTGCTCACGTGTTGTAGGTGTGGATGTAGA